CAGTCCACAGGATGCAGAGCTCATTGCACCTAACAGCAGCTCCCAATACACAGGAAGGGAAGTTTCTATGGTGAAAGCAGCCCAGAAGCAGACAACCAAGTCTTCTACAAGTGACTCTAGCTAGGTGACATCTATCTGAGTAGTTCTGGGGATCAGAACCAGTGCCCCAAGCATGAGGCAAATTCTGGGCTACTAAGTCATATCCCGAGTCTAGTGGTGAAAAATAATGCACATCAATCTAGCCACTACATTGTCCTGCCTGAACATTAACAATATTTCAATTGAAAAACTTCAGGTGATTAAAACCTTCAACCAACTACTTTGGCCTCTTATTGCAAATCCCAATGCAGAAAAACAAATGTGAAAAAACAAGCCAACATGACTCCTCCAAAACTCAACAACTCCACAGTAACAAATACTACTGATAGTGAAGCCGATTTAAAAAAATTGATTATAAGAATAATCAGTGAAATTAAATAGGACATGAATAAACAACTACATGAACTCCAAGAAAATGCAAAGAACTAAATGAAATAAAGAAGACAACGCAGGACACAAAAGAGGAACTCAAAAAAGATAAAAGAAATTCTGAAAAAAATCAAATTGGAATTCTAGGAATGAAAAACTCAGAAAGTCAAAAACAAAATTCAATTGAAAGTCTCCAACAGATGGTTCAAATTGAAGATAGATTATCAGGACTTGAAGACAAGGTAGATGGCATTATGCATGAAGGTGAAGACACAGGGGTTAAAAAAACTAAAGAAGAACAAAGACTCCCTGGTATATCATTAAAAGACCAAGCTACAAATCATGGGTATAAAAGAAGCAAAAGAGGTACAAAGTAAAGGTACAGAAAACATATTCAATAAAATAATAGCGGAAAACTTCCCAAATCTTGAGAAAGAGATGGGCATCCAGGTACAGGAGACTTTTAGGACTCCAAAAAAGACAAGGCCAGAAAAAAACTTCCCCATGTCATATTACAGTTAAAACATTAGGTATAAAGAACAAGGAAAGAATACTGAAATCTGCAAGAGAGGAGCACCAAGTTACCAGTCTGATGGGTTTCATCAGAATAAAAGCAAATTTATCAACAGAAACTTTAAAAGCAAGGAGGGCATGGAATGATGATGTATTTTAAGTGCTGAAAGAAAATAACTGCCAATCTAAACTGTGCCCAACAAAGCTATCCTTTACAACTGGAGAAATTAAAATATTCCATGATAAAAACTGAAGTAATTCAAGACCACTACACCAGCACTGCTTAGAAAATACTTAAAAGAAAGTCTACATAAAGGAAGATAAACACAACCACAAAAATACAGAAAATAAATCTCACTTGATGAGGAGATAAGCAAATGAAGAGTAAAGAAGAATCAAACACTACAAAACTAATAAATAGCAGGAATTACTACGTATCTTTCAATAATAACTCTGAATGTTAGTGGTTTCAATTCTCCAATCAAAAGACTAGATATTGGCAAATTGGACTAAAACAAACATGACCAACCATTTGTTGCCTCATTGACAAACATAGGCTTAAAGTGAAAGGATGGAAAAAGGTATTTCAAGCAAATGGAGCCCAAAAGATAGGAGTAGCTGTACTCTTATCTGTCAAAGCAGACTTCAAGACAAAATTTGAAGAGTCAAAGAAGATCACTTTATGTTGATAAAGTGAACAATCCAATAGGAGGAAATAACAGTTGTAAATATTATGCACCAAATATCAGTGTACCCAATTTCATAAAGCAAACACTACAAGACATAAAAACATAGATAAACCTCAACAGAATAGGGATGACTTTATTAATAGGGGTGCCTGTCTCACCAAAAACAGGTCATCCAAACCAAAAAGATTATTCCACCTAACAGTCTCAGGGTATACATTCTTCTTAAAGGCCCATGGAAGTTTTTCAAAAATAGGTATCTTGAGACATAAAGCAGGTTCATAGCAAATACAAGAAAACTGATACGAATTTCCTGTATTTTATTAGACCATCATGGAACAAAACTAGAAATCAGTAACAAGAGAAACTACAGAAAATATCCAAACATATAAAGAATGAACAATTCATACTTGAATGAAGAAATAAGAGGGAAATCAAAAGATTCATTTAAATAACTAATTAATGATACACCTAAATCTTTAGAAAAATAACGAACCCACTCCAAAAGCAGTAGATGGAAAGAAATAATAAAGATCAGGGCAGAAAATAACTAAATGGAAACTAAAAGAACAATATAAAAACTAGATGAAACACCAAGGTGGTTCTTTGAAAAGATACATAAGATTGACAAACTGTTAGCCAAACTACCCAATATAGAGTGAGGAGAGCAAAATTAATAAAATTAGAGATGAGAAACAGGTATCACAACAAACACTAACACAACTCAGAAAACTCATTAGAGAATATTTCAAAAACTTATATTAAGTCAGAAAATCTAACAGAAATGTATAAATCTCAAGATGCCTATGACCTACCAAAATTGAACTAAGAGGATATAAGGTACCTAACAGATTTATAACAAGCAATGAAATTGAAGCAGTAACAAAGAGTTTCCCAACCAAGAAACCAGGACTGGATGGATTCACTAATGAATTTTAACAGACCTTTAAAGAACTAATGTAAATACTCTTCAAACTGTTCAATAAAATAGAAAAGGAAGGAACACTACTAAACTAAAATAGAAAGGGAAGGAACACTACTAAACGAATTCTATGAATTCTATGAAGCCAGTATTGGTCTTGATACCAAAACCAGATAAAGGCATGATGAGAAAAGAAAACTATAGATCAATTTCCTTCATGAACATAGACACAAAAATTTTCAACAAAATACTTACAAAAGGAATTCAATAATACATTAAAAAGATCACACACCATGATCAAGTTGGTTTCACTCCAAGGATGTAAGGATGGCTTAACACATGCAAATCACCACAGCGTAGCACATGAACAGAATAAAGGACAAATTCACAAGATCATCTCAATTGATGCAGAAAAACCTTTGACAAAATTCAACATCTGTTCATAATAAAAGCTCTGAACAAACTAGGAACAGAAGGAATGTACTTCAGGGTAATAAAGGCTATGTATGATAAACCTATAGGCAGCATAGTACAAAATCAGGAAAAACTGAAACCATTTCCTCTTAAGTCAGGAACAAGACAAGGAAGTTAACTCTCTCCGCTTCAATTCAATATAGTTCTTGAATTCTTACAGCAGTAAGAAAAAAAAAAAGAAATAAAAGGTATACAAATAGGAAAGGAAGAAGTCAAATTATCCTAATTTGTAGACTGACATGACTCTATACTTACAAGACCCTATCAAAAATCCTCCTACATCTGATAGACACTTTCAACAAAATTAACAAGTATTAAATATACAAATTATTGCGATATTTCATTTTTGGGTATGTGGAAGGGTCTTTCCCCAGAATTCACAGAGAATGATCCCTGACTTCATGTTGGTCTTCAACTCAAGTACCCCCTATTTAAAACTAAAATATCTCTCTTCCCATTCTCTTTCTAGTCTTCCTTATATTCCTTACCCTAGGATTTTCTCCTAGATTTACTACTATAAATTTGATCTGCTATAAATCTACTTATGAAATGTTCTTATTGCTTTTCTTCCCCTACTAAAATAAAAGTTCTACACATGTAAGGATTATTGCTTGGTTCATGGCTCTATTTCCAGTGCCTAAAACCCAGCATACAAAGTGGTTAAATATATGATGGATGAAAGAACAAATGTTGTCAAGTATTGTGTGGCTCATATGAGATAACTTAATAAAGTAGTACAGACCCTAGCATACAGAAGTCACTAAACAAACATCAATCTATTTGTTAACTACTGTAGTGTTTCCATAAAAGACAGTAAGAGTTCTAAAATCATATAAAAATTTAAAACCTTGTATTTCATCCTATACTTTTCTCACTCTTTAAATATCTGGTCATTTAGCTATTCCAGGATACTTTTGAAAAGACATGAAATAAGTGTTATCTATTTGTGTACATGGTTCTGGGGTTTGAGCTCAGGGCTCACGGTTGCTAGGCAGTTACTTTACCACTTGAGCCATGTCTCAGAGCTTGAAGACACCTAACTTCTTAAGAATCAGTTGCAGATACAACATTTAAGTGTGTATTATTAAACAGCAAATCAATGTGTCTTTACTTAAAACGTATAGAAAATCAATGAAGTATGATTGAAGTTATTTTTATAGATAAGGAGTTATTATCTATGGGTTTGTCCTATCAAGAATGCTCAACAGGACTTCATTTTTATTTATTTATAATTTATATCCTGCTTTTTAAGAGAACTACCAGTTTGCTTAAGACCATATACATATATACTGTTCAAATGAAAAAAACTCCAATTTAAAAAATGAAGCTGGAGTGAATTTTAATAATTATATAAAGTATTTTGTGTTTAAAAGCTGCAAGAATCAGAATCAAAGAAACACAATATATTTTTAAAAATGTGATTCTTCTTCTAAATGTGTAAAGCTTCTTCTTGAGCTTCTAGAGAGCTCAAATAATTTACCAACAAAGGTCATAATGTTATTGGCTAAAGACAGACTAAAAATTCGTGGCCATGAATCTTCATCCCACGTATTTCCCACTGTACGGCGATGCTTCTCAAATATACCAATCAATGCCTTATGATACAATCAACTATGCTAATGCCAGTATATTCCTAAAAAAGAAGGAAAATGCAAGCACATATCAAACAGTATACTGTAACTCAACAAGAGAATTTACATTTCAGGCAATGATGTTTCTAGAAAACAGATATAGACATTAAAAAGTGGGAGGGAGGCCTAGTAGATATATTAGAATTGTCATGGAGTTATTATAAAGAACTGACAGAAGTATAAGTGCAGGATGCCACGGACATAATGATTTGTATTTCATTTTTCAAGTCGCTAACAACTCATGGGGTTTGTATGTCTTCAGAAATGTAGACAAAGCTCATATTATCACTGATGAAAATGACATACCTCACATTCCATGCAGTGGTAAAGTCTGGGTTTAGAAGAAGCAGGGTGCACGTGACATCTATCAATTCTAAAATAAAGAGAACTCATATTAAAACCAAATAATCCTGCCCTTCGGAATCCTGGCTTCTCTGTTTTAAAGTTCTCTCCCTATAATAATATATATTTCATATCATATTTATGTTCATGGCAGACACCCTGTTCTAAGCTGTCGAGGATATGAAGATTATCCTCAAGACTTTCTTGTACTTATGATAGTGTAAGATTTCAAAGTGTACATAGAAACAATTTTATAATATGCCTATAAATAATTTTTTCATACTTTTAGTAGATTTTGGCACTAATTTAATATGTGCCAAGGAAAACAAACTTTCTATTCATTTAATTTCACAAATATTTCAAGCAGTGACTGTATAAATTTTCAAAAGGAAAAAAGAAACTATTATCAAAACAGTATAAAAATCAGTATGGTGCCTATCAAGTATTTCCAAATTGTCCTCCAAGTAGAGACTGTTTTATATTTATACTACTAGCAGTAACACGATATACTTATGTGCCAATTCTAACCTACATAATTCTATTTTAAAAATCAATGTGATGGATAAAAAAATTCTGTAATTTACACTTAGTTATATGAATGTTTTTTCATTTTAGTTTACAACTTATAGTTCATCTATGAATATCCTATTTATATTTACTAGCTACCTATCATGGTCTTGACAAAATTCCTACATATTCAAATAAACTCCAAAGCCTCCATGTGAAAGAATCAAATTAGTAAAATTTAGACATATTGTCTTTATTTTACTAAAACTGAAGAGAATTCTAGAATTAAAAGTATCAATTTAGGAGCATAATACTAAGTTAGGTAACCCTATCAAGCCTGCATTAAGTGCCAAGTAATGAAAATAATTATTATAATTTATTTAACACTACAATGTACCAAGCATACTATTAAGTATTTTATTCACATTGTTTCACTGACTGCTCATAATCATGGTCCAAGATATATTTATCCTACTTTACAAATAGGGGAAAAAAAGATCTAGAGAGTTTAAGCAATTTGCCATCGTCATCCAATTAACATGTGGTAATATTCGTGTCTGAAGGCTTTTAAGAAGCCAGTTACTGCAATTGAAATGTGTGCCTACACATAAATAGGACATTTTCAGTGTTTAAGAAAAAGATAAACTTAGTAAAATCTAAGAACAAACATAAGGACATCATATAGTCATTTAAAATATCCTAGTTAATAACAAAATCAATTATTCCATTCTCACACCATCTTAACGAAACAGAACATTTTGAGCTCATGATTTCATTACTACTGAGCATACCTGTCATTCAATAAATGAACAAATAGAATCAGAATCTACTTATTTTTGACCTGCATCCTTCCTATTGTAAGTTATTACATGCATAAACACAGTATGCCTAATAAAGAACAATCTAATTAACCTCTTCATTCTTTTACTGTTAATAGTTCTTGGTACCAGTTTAGTATGCACCAAGGAAGACAATGTAACGTTTTGTTCCACAAATATTTCAAGTATCAACAATGGGCAGATATTAAACTAGGCCCCCAAGACTCAAAGAATGGATATAATTATATATAAGGCCTGATTTTGCTATTTTTAAGGTTATCCTCCTTTCAGAGAGACCATATAAACAAATAATTACATAAGGAAAAATGAAGTCATTATGAAGTAGAACCACATTTGGTAGGCACATTTGGTGCCTAACAAAGAAGCTATATTTAATTCTTAGTGGAGTGCCCTTGAGAGAATATAAGGTAAGAATAGGAGTAAGGCTTACCACCACAGACCATGGAAAAGTATGGCACAGGGTCTGCCCTCAAAGAGATTATGGTAGCACAGGGCACTGGAAAAATACATTAGGAAATGATTTCTCAAACTGGGTCCCTCAGTCTGGCCTTCAACTACTCCCCTTCACACGTCACTGTCCCCCTGAAGTCAAACCCTAACATTCTCTGAACATACCTCCTGCCTGCATGCCTTCCCTTCTCTGGACAGAACTCAGACTTACCTGCTTGCTATTCTTTCCACCAGAAATTTTTTCCTAAGTTCAAATATTTAAAAAACAAGAGTAATAAACTTTTTATAGCTCAACAACTCTTAAGAAGTGTGTCTTTCTCCATAAAGGCTATCCTGATGTATGTAGCAAGAATAAACCTTCACCTGTTTTGTGTGTATCTTACTTAAATAAATACGATCCTCTTAATCAGACTTTAATTAGAGAGGCAGGTTCACACAAGTACATCTTCAAATTAACTCATTCACTCAACAAATTTTGTGAGCATCTACAACAAGCAAAGTACTGAACTGGGTGAAGAAGATATGGTCTCCGTCTAAAATTAGTTCCACAGAGTATATGGCACAAAGGAGTGGTCAAAGCACAGGCTTTATAGTTGCACCACATTGGTTTGAATCCCACCTTTTCATTCACTACCTATAAAACATAACTTCTTAGACCCCAGCTTCCTTACCTAGGAAATGGGGATGATTAACCTCAGAGATGTGAGCAGTAAGATTTATTCCATTTCTCCATAGCTGTCTGACACACAATACTTGTTCCATAAATACTTGTTTAAGTAAACAATATTGTTACTTACCATTTAAGAAATGAGTATTTCAACATTAATCAAAGAAGAAATGAGGCAGCTGTCCTTACAGTAAAACTGTCTAAATTTCTGACCTTGTAAAATAAGCTACAGTAATTGTAATTGAAAAACAAGCCCACTTAATAGTCAAGTAGCTATATGGATAGATTTGTATGTGTTGGGAAAGCTGTAGAGTTTCTCTGATATTTACAATTTTCCAAAAAGCTGCTATACTACCTAGGTAAACTGGTGCTCAGTCCCTTGGACTCTCCCTTTCTGCATTAAAAAAAAAAGTAACACCAATAATAGTTGCTTTCGTTTGTACTTTCAACACAAGTCTCTTCCCCTACTCCCCACAAGTAACAACGAATTCATAATATACACAGCCAATACTGAATTCCCCACGCAGTGGTTGTGTGGCGGAAGACTGATCCAAGTAATGCTTCCTTCACTGGAGGTTCTCCCCTCAGGAGGGCACCAGCAGCTACTTGGTTCACAGCCTAGCTACCACTTACTAGGAGTTCCTGGGCAAATAAAGTAAAATTAAATAAATAAATCCTTTAATCTCTCTGTGCTTTAGTGTCCTTATTTGTAAAATGGAGCAAATAACAGAACTCATAGGGGTATTAAATGATTAAAACCACAAAGTGTCAAGTATAATACCTAATGCACAGCAAACACTTACTGATTATTCCTGTTACAAAGCCTGTATGTCCTATATCTCCAGTTCCACAAGTGATACTGGGACTGGATGCCTCTAGACAAAGGCGAAGAAATCTCCTAAGCTGACTGAGCAGTCACTGCTGAGCAGAGGGAACACTTTCCAACTTCTAAGAATCTTGGAATTGAAAAATCAACAATGGGCCCTCTTCTTTGACAAATTGCTACCTCTTCCTGATTCACAACTCACGTTCAGAGGGAAGAGGAGGGGGTGAAGTAGAATGTCAGAAATGGAAATGGGTCAATCAAGGAAAAGTAACAAGATTAGAAATACTGGACATAATTAAGGCATCATAAACTCATAGAAATCCTGAGGTCTCAATCAGTATTCCTTTTTTTGCTGTGGAAATAGGAAAAAGAGCTTTCTGACTTTTTCAGGAGGAAAGAAACCCAGATTTTCATCCTGATTTTAAACATTTGTTCAAATAATTAAGAACCATGTTTAAAACATTACAAAAAGCAAAATGCATCTATAATGCTCCAGCTTGGAGGTTAAGAATCTACAATCTTTGAAGATGAACAGAAAGTGGAGAAAAAGGTTGGTGACGAACTGTGAAAGGCCCTAAATATAGGTTAAAGAATTTGAACTCCACTCTGACTCTGTAGGCATCATAAAAAAGAACATAGCTGATATATGTTTCAAAGGCCTGGGGATATAGCTCAGTAGTAGGAATGCTTGCCTAGCATGAGCAAGGCCCTGGGTTCCAATCCAAGCATTGTTCTACCTCCAAAGATACACATTATTATGTGTTTCAGAACAGCATCTCTGCAATGGTTTTTAGGAGACACTGGTGGGAAGTGTTTGAAGTGACTGGTCAGTGGCATGAGGGGCATGCATCAGAGAAGGGCTTGAAGATGCTCTAGTTATAAGAGCTTGAAAATGGGGTAGACTAGTCATGAGGAATAACATTTCCCCAACTGAAACTGCCATGGCAGCAAAAGAAATGGAGTGGTAGAAGATGGTTTCCAAAGAGATAGCTCAGCTCTGGACGGTGACTGAGGGTTATAAGAAAGGGAAGGAGCAAAAAACTGCATGGCAGGACTCTTCATGCTATGGTTTTCTTTCTAGTGATTTTCTTGTTGTTTGTTTGGTTTTAGTACGTCATGGATTTCCCAAAAATCAGAATATCATTCCTCTCCTAAACTAATATGGCTAATACTATAGCAGACTTTTAAATCATATCCATCTGTAACTAACTAAACAGAATGTTTTCCAAACATCTAAGGAATTTATCACAGTAATGAGAGCACGGCGTCAAATCAGTTAAGTTAAACAAACACAACTATCCTAGGAGTAAAGGTCACCCTGAATTATAGAATGCATCCCTAGGATTCTGGCCTGATCAAGCATTCAGACACCAACTTTCTGAAACTCTACTTTGAATTGTCAGATTTCTATACTTGGCTCTTCTCATACATATAGTAGTTTCTACAAAAAGTCTTAAATGAATGGCATTTCTATGAAATAACTTCTTTTTCCTAAATATTATTAGGACATTTTTCCTCAGCAAAGATCACCTCTGTGCTCTAATTGCTTCAGTTTGTAAGTGTGGCAGAACATTCTTATGTTAGTCAGCATTTCCAGGTATCTTTTTCTGTCAAACCAGAAATTCACTTCTTCATTTTTACTGATAATATGTGTCAGTATAAGACACCACACTAAACTATGCTTCTTCCCAACTTTTATGGATATAGGTTAGGATAAAATCAAACCCTGTTTCTATCGGTCCTTCTGGGCCTATCAAGATTAAAACTATATGAATAAGGAGTTATAGCAAATCCTGAAGTATAGTGCCCAGGAGGCCAGGAAACTGAAGATGATTTGGATGGTCACAGGAAGAAGGTAGATGGGGCAAAAGCTAATGCTCCAAATCAACTATAGCCTTTGATTTCTTCTTTACAACATAATCATTCTACTCCCTACCCCTACCCCTGGATGTATTGGCTCAATTATACATTTGTGTGCACCAGAATACAAACAATACAGCTTCATCTGGCTAAAAGTAACTTGAATGTTATATACAGTCTTCTCATTAAGAAACATGTGTCAGAGGACTAACCAAGTAAAACAATCACATAGAAAACAGAAACTATTTCTCATTAAACCTTTCACACCAGACATTTTATGGTATAAATAGAAAAAAGTACTATTAACCTATTACAACAACCATAGTAAGGAATTCCGGGAAGTCAGTAGCTGATACTTTGGCAACATTCTTTTCCATGTCTCCCACCCCCAAAGACATTGTAACTCAACTGTAAATTTCTTGAATAAAGGTACCATGTATTATTCATCTTTCATTCTCCACAGTACTTAAAACAACTTCTGGTATGAACAGGCCCTTGGTAAAGGCTACCAAACTGATAATTAAAATTCCCTAGGAAACAAAGTTTTTATTCAAAACCAGCCTACAGACATACTAAGTACCTTAAGGTACTACTCTATTAGGGAAGAGAAAGAAGCTTTACCAAAACAGTAGAGGACATGGTCATAGGTGAGCACTCCCCAGAAAGTAAGCCTAAAATGTTAAACAGAGTTTGTGTACATGAAAGTTTAATTTGGGGAAACACTAGGAAAAGAGAACAGGTGGGACAATAGGAATTATCAGCTGCATGCAATAAAGAATGGTCTTGGAGGAATGTAAGAAGTCATTGTTAGGATGATTTTTATTGGTTTTGTTTTCATTTCAGCACAGAAACAAGATTCAGAAGCCTGAGCTCAACTGGGATGCAGAGTGAGATGGTACATTCATAAATCACCAGACTGATTCACAATTTAACTACCACAATTGCCTGTTATCTCCTTGGGACTACTACCAAAACAAGTTCTATTGCCCATAATATGCTAAAAGATCAGTGACAGGACTTAAAGGGACTAGAGTACTCTTAAAAAAAAAACCAGGATACTATTTTAAAATAAAATCTTATACATGACCTCAATAGTTAACAGATATAATCAGAACTGCTCTGATTGCAGCAGGTGGAAGTGCCTCAGGCACTTGCATATAATCACTGTGGTTGCAAAATTTGAAAACTAACATCTAGACCAAGCTACCCACTTGACAGACATTATGCACCTGCCCAGGTAGAGCCAAAACTAGAAACCAGAATGTCAACACCCAGAGGAAGATTCTTCCCAGTGATGCTTCTAAACCAGAGTAGGAAAACATGGTTCATACTTACCGTCTTTGTTCAGCCACTGCTTTCTTGTTCTGTACAAAAGGAGCTTGTTGTGGACGTATGGTAAAAGGAACTTGACACACCAACTCTCCACACCGAGTTTGTTTTCAACCAGGACTATGGGACTCCGGTTATACCTCGCTTCAGGACATGGGATCAGGCCAATTTCATCTCTTAATATGTAAAACATAAAACAGAATTGAAGATAATACTGGCCTTCTCAATTTTTTTTCTAATTCCAGAGTATTTTTTTTTTAAATCCACATATTGTCTTTTCTTAAAGACATTATTTAGCTCACCTACTCGTGTGGAAGAAATAAAACACAATGAAAAACAACTCCCCCCCCTAAAAACTAGTTCATTAATAATGGCAAGAGCATGCACTACTCTGACAGGACTGAAAATGGATTTTGTCCATGGATGACAATTTGAGAATACCTTTCAAAAGTCTTACCTTTCTTTGTTTTGGTGGTCCTGGGACTTAAACTCAGGGCTTTGCACTTGGTTGGAAGACACTCTAATGCTTGAGCCAGACCTCTAGCCCGCCTTTCAAAATTTTAAAAGCACACATCCTTAGACTCAGCAATTCTACTGCTTAGAAGGTATCTTAGTATAGATGAACAGCATGCTCATTGCAACAAAATGGGAAACATTTTAAATATTTAACAATGTAAGACTGGGAAAATAAGTACAGTCCATCCATGTGGTATAGCTGTTAAAAAAATAAAAGGTAGATCTGCATGTGCTTGTGTACTTCCTAAGATATATAGGGAAAAGGCAAAATATACAGATGTGCAGCATAATTTTGTGTAATTTCTTTAAAATACATACAGATGTGTTAAAGTTTTCCTTAGCAAAATATCAAGCAATTTTGGGGGAGAAAAGGGTATTGAGGAAGAATTTTACTTTTATAAACTTTAAATTGTCTAGTCATTTGTATTTCTATTTTCAAAACTGTAAACATAATGCTTTCCTACTAATGAATATATGTACAACAGAAACAAATTATCAATAAAAGTTATCTTGTTAGGGATATTATTTTCCCTCTTTATAATTTTCTGAATTAAAAAGACCACCATAGACTTGGGGTGTAGTTCAAGTGGTAGAGCACTTGCCTAGCAAGCACAAGGCCCTGGGTTCAATCCCCAATATACTGGGGGGGAGGAGAAGGGGCAAAAAAACCTTTCTGATAAATGCTAAAACATAAAATGTATTTCAGAATTTGATCATTTTCATCTGTGGTAGCATTTCTATCCTTCAATCCACCTTAATGTGAAAATCTGCATTACAGGCAGAGATTTAATGAACAATATGTACAGCATTTGACTTAACATAGTAAACACACCAGTAAACATAAAAATGTTTTTGTATAACCCCCATACACCTTTCAACTATAAAGGACATTGCAATTCTTACCTCTGTCACTTCTTAAATAGAAAGTCCCTTATTTAAGGAACAACAAGAATAGCTAAAAATAAATGCATGAATGTTTTTATAGATACTTAAAATTTTTCTCATAAAAACTGGTTTTTAGAGTGTGGGTTGGCATTACCTTTCAATAAAGTTCTGGGGATTCCTTTGACAAAACAATAATAGTTTGACAGACACAAAAGGGGGCCAACCTAATTAATTATAGGTTATAAGAAAGACCCTCTTTGTTAGGTCACCATCTTGAACTGATGGGAGGCTGTGAATCTAATGAAAATCATCAGAACACTTTGAACTGGATAGCTCACAGGTAACCTACTTTCTACCAATCACTTCATTAGTGACACAGCGATGTATCAATAAACTAGGTACCCGAGGGGATGCAAGTCACCAACAATTCTAACTAACCTAACTCTCCAGAAGATTTCAGGACCTGACAACAGGTTCATTAGTCAAAGGTGTCTTAATATACCACATTAATACTATCATCATATAAATACCATCATATAGTTCTGAAAATACAAAAATGAGTAAAACAAAGTATCCCAGAGTTCAAAGAGCTAACAGTTTTTCTGAAGAGCTTTCAGTAGCTACAATAAAATGTTACCACTTTGCCATTCCAGTTACATAATGTCTATAGGAAGAATGGGGGCAATACTGAGAGCATTTGACATCAATGTCCAGCACTTCAAAGTATGTTTTTGCATTTGTATTTGACGATGTTAACCTGAAATCTACTTAACTCACGATTAGGACAACTAGCCTAATACAATCTCTGGTATTTTCTGGTGTTCAGGGCTTACTGTATAAAGTAGAACATTTAAAAAAAAAAAAAAAACTAAAAAAGAACAACAAAAAAACCCAAAAAATTCAACCTAATTGCTCAGGAGATTTGGATCTGTGGGATCTAATAAATGCTTCAAAGAACATCAAGAGCTAAAAATACGCTATAGTAAAGAATAAAAGAATCCTGGCTTCTGGGTTTAGTCTGTTTGAAGAGTTTTTTAAATTTAAATTCACAATGTAAAAACCTGTCTTGCTCATTAGTTTTTCCAGAAATAAAATATCCATGTACTAATTTGGTTCCTAAATTGCAGGATAAAGCCACCTGCATAATTAAACACATTGCTTTGGTGGGCTATATTCTTCCAAGGAAACTTTAAAAACCAAAACTGCTTTGGAGATAGCATGTGCTTGATAACCCTTACTAAAAAGCTAATAGTCCTTGCATTTCGGTGGCAATATTTAAAAGTTTTTCAAACGTTACCACTTCTTGACGTTCCAAAAGAACATTACCTCTGATTTTCTTCTAATATAGTGTACTGAAGACAGCGTGGGTCATCAATCATGTTACTTTGGCTGCTAGAGACCTGTTTCCTCATTTGTGTAAAGGTGGAATTGCATTACACCTCTAGTTAAAAAAGAAAAAAAAGGGCTAGATCTCATCCAGCTTTCAAATTTTATGACAGAGAAGCTTGGCAGCTATTTGCATGTAAGGAGAATGAATCATAACGAAAAATGTAAAGTCTTAGGAATAAACAAAAACACATGAAAAGAAAGGTTGCAGGGTGCACAGACTAAAGCACTTCATTACAAGTCCAGGATTGTAATTAGTCTCCATTCTACCACTGGCAGTTGATGTGAATTTGGTAAGTCACTTACCATCAGGATCTTCATCTGAAACACAAGACTAATAATATCTTCCCTGCTTGTCATGAAAACCAAACCATGCAAAGTAAAAAATGAGGTAAATTATGAAGTGCTAGGCAAAGATGAAATATGTTATCATTAATTCATTTGAACCTTAGGTCAGTCAGTAAAGTTCCTTGGTAAATAGATAATGGGAAGCAGCAGAAAGAATATTAATCTTTTTATTATTTGACCCTAAGATACAGTGCTTTCCTACTTCCTAAAAATTTTAACATTTACTTTATAAAGATAGATAGGTCAGTAAGCTTCCAAATAACAGTGTCTTTGATTTGAGACCTCTGTGCCTAGTCCCTTAGGTCATAGTCCACTTTTTTTTTAGACAATTTAGCATAAGATTCCAGAATCACTTTTAAATTCTAAGAGAGCTGATTTCTCTAGTTTCTCATTTTATTGGATAAGGAAACCAATGAGACTTATCTAAAGCCATATTACTAGCAGCTAAGTTAAGAATCTGGGCCTCCAAAAACCTTTTACAGTAGAGTGAAAAAGCAAAACAGTGTTTTGATCAATTCCTCCTAGATTTCTGGCAGTTTAAATTCTAATTTCATACTCAAGAAAAGATGGAAAACTCAGGGAAATACAAACTGAAAGTCACCTTTCAAGTCTCCACCTCTATTTAATGGTTGGGCATCCACCTTTTTTGTTTTCCCCTAAGTATTCTACAAAAAGTGGAATTACATTGGATATAATCTTTTTTTTAAAATTTTACAAAACTTGGCAATTCCCATTAAACATTTTCCCACATAATTAATTTTTAGTGGCTGCAATGAATATGCTTTAAATACCAAATAAATTTCCAACTATTTTCTCACAAAATAGTCTTGTAAGAGAAACTTCTGATCCTTTCACCACGACTAAATTTCATTCTTTTATAGTTAGGTTTCTAGCCATTTAGCTTCCTGGTATTTAACAAAATGCTCAAGTAAATATTTCCTGCATTAGTAAGGGCACAGTATTTTTAAAGACATGAAGGTTTGGGACAGCAATCAAGTTCTAATCCTCTGAGATCCACAATAAACTGTTTTTAGGTTATCTCCCAAGTCTAGTCCGAAGACATACAACATGGAATGAACCAGCACAGTTACTTCAGAGACCTTAGATGCCTTCTCATTAATTTTAAAGGCTAGCAACTTTGTGCATCACTGAAATTATATAACCAGCCATATTTAGAAGATAGCTACCACAATCAAGAGCAGTTGACTGTTGGTTATACACCATGCTGTGTTAGGTTTTACATACATTATTTCATTTATCCTGCACAATAACCTTCTAGTGAAAAAAAAATTAACCCCATTTTATAGATGAGGAGTCTTAGAGCCTTGTCTAAATCTATCCCACTAGCAAATTAAAAGACAAGGTCAAAATCAAGGACTCAAACCCTAAACCCAAATTTTTATAAATACACTACTGTTTAAATAAAAATCAAGTATAAGAAGACTATTAGACTCTTTGATTTCCTATTCTTTAGACATAATCTAAAACTGTCTTTCCTTATTACTCCCTTACTCATGACCCTTCTACTACTTAGAAAGTATATTTTCCATAAGCCAACTATTCTTCATGCCTCATGTCTCAATTTAAATGCTACTTTCTCAGAAAGAACTTGACCTTTTAATTTAATAAGCTCAATGTGTTATAACCCTCTCTGCCTCTTTTCATAATCTGTATGTTGATAAGTTTAAAATTCTACTAAGGACAGGGATCATGTCCGTTCACCTATCTATATCCAGATCCTAGCCCTGAATACTCACAAACTAGAATTTTGTCTGTGCAAAGGAGGTGTAATTTTGCTGAACACATTAAGGGAATGAAAGAAATGAAGCCAGACAGTCAAGGATTTTATAATCTGTCCCTACAGTGTCTTCTTAATCAGATTTTGCTACTTTTGGTCAATTCACTGCTCCCAGTGGAGGTCTGTGGCCCCCTCTGACACTAGTAAATCCTATCTAGATTTCAAAGTTCAGCTTAAAAATCCATCTCACCTAAGACCTCTGGTCCAGACATACCCAGCATCCCCTCTACTTCTAACAGACTCATCATGCTATTAATACAACCTTTGGCATAAACTGTATTTCAGGGTTAATTTACTGTTCATGCACATAAGGTTTTAGGTCTCTGTCTAGACCCCACACCAGGCAAAACAGTAGTCATTGGGCATATGGGGCCACTGGACATAAATGAATTAAAATTAAATTCAAAATTCAGTTCCCCATCCACATTATGCACATTTCAGTTCACAATAGCTACATATGACTGACTAGCCCAGCAGACATTCTATCACCACAGATATATTTTTCCTGTCCTGTTTTGTGAAGATACCTGCAGTACCTCAATACAGTGACAGCTGGATAGTCAATAAAGTAAAAACAATAATAATTTGCTGACTAAGAGAACTTTACCATGACCCTAATCACACTGTAGACAGCTGTCTTCCACATTTACACAGGGTCTATATTTTATGCTAATGTCTGTCCCTGGATCAAGCCTTCAGTTGTAGAGTCCAGTAGGATTCTCTAAGAGTCCTTACAAACAACATTTGTAAGGTATTTTCCAGTTTACAAAGTACTTCACATTCATAATTCATCTGGTCAATATGTTTCTGGCAAGTAGTAGAGTGACTTGGGTTAAGTCTAGTATTTACTTAGTGGCAACTAAGTACCACTGTGTACAGTGATTTTTGTGTTTTCATCAGCCTTACAAGATCAGGAGGAAACTAACCTATCTACATCTGGCAGTCTCAAAATCCACATATTCCTATGCATCTTTTTGTATGTGTGTGTGAAATGAATTTTATCTTTGTTTTAGTCTATTTTACTCCTCTTGGAATACATACACAATCAGTGAATTTTTAAATTTATCATACGTTAATACAAAGGGAATTTTATTGCAGTAATTCGATATCTGCAAACAGTGTACCTTGAACAAGTTCACCCCCTCCGGGATATTCCCATTCCCTCTCTCCCTGTCCCCTGCCCCCTTTTCAGCGTTTGATGGGTTTCATCATGCTGTCTCATATGTATACATGCATCGTACTTCCATCCTCCTCATCCCTCAGTATCCTTTTCTTCCTCCCATCCTGCTGATCCCCAAACAGTTGTTCATACACATTTGTGTCCTATTATCATCATCATTTTAGGTGTAGGTTCCACAAATGAGCAAGAACATGTGATATTTGGCCTTTTGGGCTCAGCTTATCTTGTTCAGCATGATGCTCTCCAGTTCCATCCATTTTCCTGCAAATGACATAATTTCATTTTTCTTTGACTAGTTCTGGCTAGATATTTCTGCACAAAGTCACTACACTCAACAGATGTTGGCAAATAAAATCACAATCTCATGTCGGGGAAAAAAAGGAAAACAAAAATAAAAAATTATAATATTGTAATTAGATGCAAACTTTAAAGATAAGCAATGCCTTTTTTAGGAAAAAAATTAGAAATACAGACTCTAGTCTGAGAGCATTATGAATAGTATAGGCCTTAAACTGGCAATTCTGAAAAGCACAAATTATAAGACATATTAAAAGATGTATATAATACTACTGAAGTATTTTTACCGTAGGGAATATGTACTAAGATAGAGCTGCTCACTAATATTAAATAGAGTTAAGCTATTTAAATGTTTTGGATTTGTATATCCTTATTTTAAATTCTTTCGAATGTTCAACTCTCCCAGGCTTTTAAATCTTGCACTGACCCAAATGCTTATTAGTAATTATAAATTAACTATCAATAGTGAACATATTAATGAGACTTCACAGTAAAAATAAGATGAAGGGGGCATTAAAGCCCTTTACAGGTTTTGATAGATGTGATACAGAAGAACTGGGACATGTTCCAAGCTGCAGTTTCAACCTGCCAAACCAATTAACACTCAATCTGGGTTTCTTCAAATATAAAATGATGCTCTTAGTCTACCTCAAAGAATATAAGCTAAGGTGATTTATTAGACTTCTAGCCTCTTCTAGAAAAATAATACCAATGAGGAGAAAATAGACCCTACTTTTGCCAAACTTTTTTTTTTCCTTTTTCTTTTTTTGAGGATGTCTCTTATTTGCACTGAGGCTCCCATTCTCAAAATGGGACTGAAAGACTGATACACAAGGCATCAAAGCATTCTTTAAAAGACCAGCAACCACTATGGTTACGGCCAGGAAATCATTCCAGACACTCTCACTTTGAAAAAGGCAGCAGTCATAAGGGGACCAGAAGTGGCCGCTGTCAGAGGTGGCAGGTGCGTTTTGGGGCCAGTGTGTTTGGGGGCCAGTGTATTGTTTTTAATTAGGCACAGTTGCGACTCTCCAATTGCGTGCCACAAGAGAACAAGACATCTCAAGACTTCTTAACTCTTTTATAGGCATCACTTTGGAGAAAAAGAACACCTCAAGATGGCTTGATCTTTGTTTTAGGCAGAAAACCTTAAGGAACTATAATGCTTAAAAAGAATTAATTCATATACTCGAAATTTACTAAAACACAAATTTAATAAAGCCTACAAAGTTGAAAACAATGCAGGACGTGTTTCTTTTCCTAGGGGAGGAGCGATGGGAAAGGCGCTACACTGTTGCGCCTTGTTCTTTTCTATAATCTTGTAGGTAACTCTCCCAAACTTCCTTCTTCACTGATTTAGTGAAGAAAAGTGTCAGAAAGCATACAACCTTGAAGCTATCTTCCCAGAGTCCTCCAAGTCAAATGGAAAGGTAGGAGGAAGAGCGACTTGTGTCACTGGTGTAGTGAGTGTCCTGCTAAAGAGGGCAGCAGTGCTGGGATAAAATGAGTTCATGGGCTCCCTTGTAACTAGGAATCCGCTTCCGCTGAAGTGTCGAGGTTTCCATCTGCTTCGTACCCAGACCCCCGCTGCCCCTTCTGAGGTTACACTCTTGAGAACGTTCTTTTCACCATCAAAACACCATGTATTATCAGTCACTTTACAATCTCGGGGCAAGTGAGGCCAAAGTCAAAAGCAGCCTCAAACTACCTGCACTTCGGCAACGGATGGGGGGGAGGGGAAGTCCCTCCTATCGCGGCCCAGAGGCATCTCAAGAGTTGAGTTTAAACACGAGGCGCAAACGGACCCGCACGGCCAGTGCCGGGGACCCTGAACGAAACGCGTGTAAGCTGGGTACCCACGGGGGAAGCCGTTCGAGTTTTGGGAACTCCTGGGAAGGATGGGGAGCAAGGGAAGGAGGTCCGGTCAGTCTTGATGGTAGGAGACCGTCCTAGAGACTCGCCCGCCAGCGCGTCCCGGTAACGGAGAGCCCGCCCCGGGGTGCCGACGGCGGTCCACCGGTCCGCTGGTCACCGCGGAGAGCAGCTCGAGCGCCGCCCCATCCCCGCCCGCCCCGACGACCCCCGGAGGCGGCAGGGACACACGACTCACATGTGCGGGTTCCTCCTGAAAGCGTTGGTGATGTCCTTCACTACCCTCTGCACCAGCACCGCCACCTCCTCGCTCGTCTCGGCCATGTTGGCGGCAGCCGCTGCGGCTCGGCTCGGCGCGCCTCCGGGAAAGAGCCGAGCCGCCCGCAGGAGTTCTGCGGGGAGCGCGCGCCTGCGCGCGTGCGCAGCTGTGGGCGCGCCCCCGCCGCGGCCGCCGAGCACTTCCGGGTCAGCCCGCCGGCGGACCGGGCGTGGCGCCCGCGGGCTCGGTGATCCCGGGGAGTCCCTAGCGGGCTCCCCGCCGCGGGTTAGCCGTTTTTCCGTGTCGGGGAATACTCCGCACATTCGTTTGTAAAGTGACCCCGCGCGTTGGTTTCATCTTAGTTTTTAGTCCATTCGGAACCAAGGAAAGAGTGGTATTGAACCCCCCTCCCCATTGAACCCGGTCCCCCTCCCGGGACATCCTGCAGCAAAGTGTCAACCGAGAGTGCAGGTCGTTTTGCGCCGTTGGTCCCCGTGATGTCCCGACCCTGGGAAGCACGAGGGGCAGCGACGTCGCGGCCAAGCGCGTCCCTATTTGACCCTGGGGATGACCTCCTTCTGTACCTGCCTGCCAATTTGGACTTCTGATTGCTTCAATTACTTTTAAAATGGTAATGCATTAAAGGAAGAATAAGTAAAGGAAAAAAAAAATTGCTCGCTGGCTCTAGGAGTAGAAGTAAAATACTTTTTTAGCTTTGGTACTTCTAGTGTACTTCGAGTTTGGTGAATGCCTTGTCAGTATTGGAGTAAAAGTCAAGGCACTGACAGACAAAATAGTAAAAGTAAACCCCATAAACAATTAAGTGAGTGTCCTCGTAACATCTCTAGCTTGCTACAGATAATTTTTGTAAGAAAAATGAGCTCTAGTCCATTTGGGTTTTGAAATGCTATAATTAAAAATCAGGTTTTCTTTTGCCACCTGACATACAAAAATCTGACTGCCCTAAATTCGTTTTTTTTTTTTTCTTCCGTGCTTGAAATCTGTATCTTTCCAAACTTTAAAAAAAAAAAAAAAAGCCCAAGGTTGTGGAGGAAGTGCCCCCGACTCCCTTGAGTAGACATGGCAGGAATAAAATACCAGTAACCTGGGAGGATAAGGAAAGAGGGCTTAGCCCTCTTGGGCCTAATCTGAACCATGCTCCAAGGAAGAAACAATCAGCGACGCCCATTAGAAAGAAACAGCCCACCGCAAAATCCCCAGTAACCCCATAAAAGCCTGTCCCCAACCCCTTGTGCATGTTGACCCGTTGTTTACCTCAATAGCTTTGTAATAAACCTCTTACTTTTCCTACTTACTCTTAGTAAATTCTTTCACCAACTCGTGATTCTGAAATTCACAACGTGTTTAATATGAATATGTGGAGCATTTGAAATAGGATCCATGATTGTGAAAGTAAAAACCATCCACTGTATGTAAAACAAATTGAGAAATGTCAAATTATACCCAGTGACTGATATTCCCTATGTCTTTGTTTGTAAAGGCTTATATTGTTGCTCTGTTTTTAAAGAAGCCAGATAGAAGTTTCACAAAATTGTAGAAAGCAAGATGGGACAGGTTTACTAAGTAGTAAACCAAACCTTGAACTCTGACAAGTTCTGGAATGGAGCTGTGAAATGAGTGGAATGTGTATTCAGAGTCCAACGCCAAGGACAACTTCAGATATCCTGGTTACTCTTAAGAATGTGATACCAGTTCTCCACTGGTTTGAATTAACTGATAAATCTTCCTCTTAATCAGAACCTTGCATCCTTTCCTAACAGCCATGGGAAATAAATCCTGACTTCTGGAGCAGAGCTCAAAACAACACACTAAGAAACATGAATTTTTTTCCAAAGGCTTTATTTTAAAAATTAGTGAGATGTTTGCATTTCACTCTGTTTGTATTGAACAGGAAAAATCCAAACTTAATCCCCAATTCTTGATGTAAAATTGGTATTCCAGAAAATTTCTCTGTGTAGTTTCATACATCACACACACACACACACACACACACACACACACACACACACACACACACACTTTGCACTTATTTGAAAGCTGTGAGTTATATGTTTCATGATTGTTCTTCTAAGGGTTCAAATTGTTTCACCCAACTATTAAGCATCTATTATGTATAGAAATCAAAACTTTTAGAACTGGCATGTATTAGAACTTGGATCCAACTTGATTTTACAGAGGACTGAAGTCCAAAGAAGTTAAAAGTCGAAATTCATGAGCCCTTGATAATGATATGTATAAAAATAGGGTATGACATATGAAAATCAGTACCTTTTCTATATACCAATTCAGACTGAGAAAGAAATCAGGAAAGTAATCCCATTAATTATAGCTTTAAAACCAAAACCCAAAATATCTAGGAATCACGAGTTGAAAGACCTCTACAATGGTATCTGTAAAACACTGAAGAAAGAAGTTGAGGAAGACACTAGACGGTAGAAAGACTTCCCATGTTCATGGATTGGCAGAATTAATATTGTGAAGATGGCTATACCACCAAAAGCAATTTACAGATTGAATGCACTCCCTATGGATGTCATTCTAATGACATTGTTATTCCTCACAGAAATAGAAAAATCAATCCTAAAATTCATGTGGAAGCATTAAAGACCCTGAAGAGTTAAAGTAATCCTGAGTAAAATGAGCAATGTTGGAGGTAGCACAATACCTGTCTTCAAATTATACTACAGAGCCATAGTAACAAAAACAGCATGGTATTAGTACAAAAAACAGACATGTAAACCAATGAATTAAAAGACCCAGAAATAAGCCCACACAGTTTCAGCCATCTGATCTTCAACAAAGTTACCAAAAATATAAGTTGGAGAAAAGACAGCATCTTTAACAAATGATGTTGGGAAACTGGATATCTACATGTAGAAGACTGAAATTACATCCCTATCTCACCCTGTATAAAAATCAATAAAATGGATCAAAGATCTTAACCCAAGACTTGAAACTATTACAGGAAAACCTAGGGAAAACACTTGAAGATACAGGCATGGGCAACAACTTTCTGAATAGAAAATAAAGAAATGAGAGCAAGAATTGTCCAATGGGATTGCATCAAATTAAAAGAAACAATTACCAGAATGAAGAGCTAGCTTAGAGAATGGAAGAAAATCTTTTGCCAACTATTCATCAGACAAGGGACTAATTTCCAGAATGTATAAAGAGGTCAAAAAATTAAATACCCAAAGAACAAGTAATAACTAGGCAAATGAACAGAAAGTTCTCAAAAGATGAAGTACAAATGGCCAATAAACACATGGAAAAATGTTCAACATCCTAAGCCAAAAAGGAAATGCAAATCAAAATGACATTGAGATTCCATCTCACTCCAGTCAGAATGGATATCATTAAGAAAACAAGTAACAATTGCTGGCAAAGATAAGAGGGGCAGGAGAGGAACCCTTATACACCATTGGAGGGAATGTAAATTAGTGCAGCATTATGGAAATTAGTATGGAATTCCTTCAAAAATAAAAATAGAACTACCATAGCATCCTGCTATGGCACTCCTGGGTATATACCTAAAGGAACGTAAGTCTGCATACAATAGAGATACCTGCTACCCATGTTTATTGCAGAACTACTCACAATAGCCAAACAACAAAATCAGCTTAGTGTCCATCAACCAGTGAATGGATAAAGGGAAAGTGGTAGATATACACTGTGGAGTATTATTCAGCCATAAAGAGCAAAATTATGTTAGGAAAATTAATGAAACTGGAAATCATTGTATTAAGTAAAATAAGACAGATTCAAAAAGACAAAAAGACAAACACTTCATGTTTTCTCTCCCATGCAGAATCTATACCTAAGAAAAAGACAAAAATGACATGAATGTAAAACGGGTATCATTGAGGGAAAAGCTAATGTGAGTCAACTCCCTGTATAGCTATCCTTATCTCAACCAGCAAAAACCCTTTTTCCTTCCTATTATGGCTTATACTCTCTCTACAACAAAATTAGAAATAAGGGCAAAATAGTTTCTGCTGGGTATTGAGGGGGTGGGGGGAGAGGGAGGGGGCGGAGTGGGTGGTAAGGGAGGGGGTGGGGGCAGGGGGGTGAAATGAACCAAGCCTTGTATGCACATATGAATAATAAAATAATAAAAAAAAGAATTGAATTTTCTTGCAATGCTATAAAATTATTCTCCATTGTATTTAAATAATTTTATACTTTAAAAATACTTAGATCTTTTATTTATCAGAAGACAGATGTCTACCTTTGTTTACTTTTGGGGGGATATCTCATTTTCCCATGAATTGAAATGACACCTTTTTCATATATTCAAATCCCATATAGACTCAGATACATTTCTATGCCTTCCGTGTTTTCACATGGATCTACTCATTTATTACATTGTCATTATTGCTATAATTAGAGTAGGGTTTTCCTATATTAAAAAAATAAAATAAAATAAAAAGGGTATCATTGAGGGAAAACCTTTAGGAGGAAGGAAGGCAAAAAAAGAGGGTGATGAGTGGTGAATATGATCAAAGCACATTATATGTATGCATAAAAATAGAATAATGAAATCCTTTAGAATTTTTAAGAAAAAAAGGAGGGGGTGGGAGATAATAAAGAGTAATAGAGTGTGTGGATCTGGCCAAAGTATAGGCATGTGTGGCAATATCACTATGAAACCCCTTGTGCAATACAAATCTTAATAAGTATATAAATTTAGAATAATTTTGTCCTAAGGCTAGGAGATTTATATTGAGGTATCTATAAAACATATTTATTGATAATAAGGAAAAATATACTAAATAGCTTACATGTCCAATGATGGGATTGATCAAATTATGGTAAATTTATCTGATAAAATACTATTTAGCCACTTAAAACTCACATTATAGCTAAAAAAGTATGCTTGCACTCAGTCTTCTGTATCCATGGGTTCTACATATGTGGGTGGTTGAATCCAAAACTATTGAAAGTATTCCCAAAATAATTGTGTCTGTACTAAACATGTACATACTTTTAAATTCTTGTCATTATTCCCTAGCCAATGCAGTGTAACAACATTCACACAGCATTTACAATATACTAGGTATCATAAGTCATCAGA